CCGCGCACAAATATTCTCAGGTAGCAGGCGCTTATGTAAGGCGCCCACAGGACGAGGAAAGTCAGTGTGATCATGTAGTACATCTTCCCGATCCGTTTCTCCATCTTGAACTCGTCCAGCACCAGCAGCCTCCTGTTGCCGAGGTGCGACGTTTGCCTGATGCCCACCAGCGTCGGTGGGGTGGGTCCCCGGCCGAAGCCGGCGATCCAGTTGGCGGCGGCCTGTCCTGTGGCACCTGGGCCGTGGAAGGTCCAGTTCTGGCTGATGGCGGGGACCAGCTGCGCCGGCTTCATCTTGCGGTGATCGTAGACGAAGCACAGCATCTTTATGTAAACCACATGGGTCGTCCCCACGATGACGGCCAGCATCAACATGAAGCCCAGGGTGTCGTTCGCCTTCACGTAGCGGTGCTCGAAGGTGCACTGCTCCTCCTCGCGGATGAACTTGTAGGTTCCCACGTCGAAAACCGGGGGGAACGCCATGGCCACGGAAAGGGTCCACACCATGCAGATCACCGCGACGCACGTACACAGATTCATCCGCTTGTAGTAGAACCTGTGGTGGGCGATCGCCATGTAGCGGGTGACGCTGACGCAGAAGAGCAGGAAGGCGACGTGGAAGCAGAAGAGCACCGACACGAAGGCGACGATCTTGCAGCTGAGCGCGCTGTACGGCCAGGAGGAGCCGCCGCCGATCGATGCCATCACGAAGGGGAAACAGACGGCGGAGCGCACCACGTCCGCCAGGCACAGGTCCAGGAGGAAATAGTAGGGAGCCTTGTGCAGCGAGCTGTCCTTCAGCAGCAGCAGCGACAGCGACGCGTTTCCCAGCAGGCTGATGCCCATGATCAGACCCAGGGAGGCCAGCTTGACCGCAGAGGCCGCGGACGCATAGTTCTGTAAGGACGGGCTGCTCCCCCCAAACTCACTTGCGTTCGCCATCTATGCAGCCGAGGTCGCGTGTATCCCCACATCAATTCATCGACGAGCGGTAGTATCCTGCCAGGGCTGAAAGGGAAACAAAAATCAAACACGATCCGCCGCCCCTTTCACAGAAAAACACACTCAAATTCCACTCAGACGCATCCGTTCAACGTCGGCTCACATCCATCCCGATGTGCTGTGATCCCCAGCACAAAAAACAAACAAACAAAAGCATTCAGTATTTCTTCTTTTTCTTCTTGTCCTTCATCTCACAAGTGTCCGGTACAGGAAACATCCCTGTCTGTGGTTCCATTCTCTGCTGAACAGGGGCAGCCCGCTTTGGGTTTCATACACCATCTCGGAAGGCGTCCGTTCAGCAGACGAGCGGCTCAGAAAACACATCTCAGTCCGCACCGATGGCGGAGGTCTCCCGTTCGTCTCGAGGAATAAAAGAACACACCGTGCCGTGCGGAAGCATGGCGCAATTACGCATCCACAGCCTCAGCAGCGGCTGCTAAAACATTAGTTAGGTTATATATAGCCCAGAAAGGAGACAGTGCTCTGTAAAAGCCGAGTGCAGATCGGGTGCTTGCAGAGATGGGAGCGCCAGTATGGATCCAGCAGCGGCAGCAGCGTCTAGCCTATGCGACGCACGTCCGCTCGCATGTAGTGAGCAGGCCTGGGATCAGCCAGGAGACTCATCTGCCGGTCCTTGTCTAATGCAATCTATATAGGACGTCTGTCTCCACGCGCTGATGAGATGCAAATGGCGACAGATTGACAGAGAGGTCCTCTGACGTTGCATAATATTTGGTGTGCAGGGTAAAAAAAAAACTACTAAGATACTGTGCAAATATAGGATTATTATGTATTCTATAATAATCATAGGAGTATTATAAGAAAGTCAAGCACACACAGCCCATAATATTAAGCTACACAGAGAACATCTCTTTAATAAAATGAGTTTCTTGAAAGATATAAAGAAAGAGAAATAGTAACACTAAGCTTCTTAACAGATACATGATTTGTGGTCACAAGTCACTGTGTCATGTAACACACTACATGCACTGCAACTGTAATCAGTGTTTCACATTTAAATATGCTATCACATGTTTCTTACTATTTACTTAATAATAATGTGACAAATAAAAATGGAATTACCAGTTTAAGGTTAAAATAAACATATTTAATGCTAAATGAATTAGAGGAATTCTGCACTTATCACATTTGTATGGTTATATTCTAGGTTTTTGAGCAGTTAACAACCTGAAAGCACTTGTGCTCACTTTGGCTCCTTGGATTCGACTTCGACACCCCTTAAATGAAGATGTGCCTTTTTAATGGGGCCACAGAAGAATAAGATAACACGCTCATATAGAATAAACTAACCAAAACACAACATTGATCCATTAAACAAAAAGACATCCAGACTAGCCCCACTCTCTCCCCTTATTGTTTTGAATGATGCACTCACAAGGTACACTGAATTATTGCCAGCCAACACGACGTCAGCACTTATAGCTACAGTTTAGAATGCAGCGGATGAGAGAGACTGTAAGACGACACAGGTGGAGCTAACAGTGTGGGTTCAAATAAGGTAAAAAGTTGCATAATACAGCAAAGTGGTGTGTCAGAAGATAATACTGCAGTGGAAAAAGTGGGTCTGACAAAGATGATTATATTTGATGTCTTTAAGAAGAACGGCTTTAAACCCTTTCACATTATTTAAAGAATCTTGAACTAAGAGAAAAATGAATGGTTATGTGTTGGAAAAAAATTCTTTTCGGGATAAAATCCAGTATCAAATAATCTACAATATGTTATGTTAATATATTAAAGGTGTTTCAGCTGAACTTGTGTACTTTGAACTTCACTGTGACAGGGCTGCACCTGCTGCTGCAGTGATTCACCAGCACCCCCTGCAGCCAGCTCCAAAGAACATCACAAGCATATAAGAAATCAGGTATATTAACCCTTGGTGCTGTCTTACACACAAATATTGGCCTTTTTGTGAGAATTAACACTTACATCAGGACCAAAAATGAAACCCACATGGCCATGTCTGAACTCAGCTCAATGCTCTGTAACACTCTCCACATTAGGCCAGGTATTCATATATGAACCCTGTGACCACACTGGAGCCTTAACCAGTCAATTCCAGAGGAACAATTAAAGAAGGATGTTCAGGCAGATCCTCAATCCCAGTAACACCACCAGATCCATCAAATGAATGGTTCCAACTATCAGAAATAATAATACATTAAGAAAAAAAAGGAAAAAAAAGTCCTATTATTAGATGTGGTTGAGTTTAACAATGGCTTTTCCGTTCACAGTAGCCGGATGGTTAATTGCTGAGATTTAGATTGCTAGAAATTCAAAACTACACTTCTTGTTTGAGAGCTCAAATGCCCAAAGAACAAATATGCCTATATAAATACACCATAAAGCATATAAAATATCCACACACTAATAGGACATTGTATAATTAAAACATGCACATTTGACTGTCCTTATAATTTGAGTCTGTGGAGTGCTGGGCTAGTTTGATAAGCTCACTTACAGTAGACAGATCTCTCTAGGGAATGGGGCTTCAACTGCGATTGTCTTGTCAGAGCTTGCAAAGCACTTTCACCAAAGTGCCCTAAAACAGGCTACAAGGGGCTTGAGACTGAAGATAGTGGAATGAGATGATGCTTTACTCAGGAAAATAAACATGCCCATTTCCTAGTCTGCACAAGTGGCAATCACTCTCCTGGTTAGATAAGACATTCTTGCTTAGTACTCGCTGCAACTCTTGACTATTGAAGTAGAGGTAGGAAACAAATATACGTAGATAGAGTCAGTAAGAATAGTGCAATTCCCAGGTGCATTCAACAAATGCCTACCCCCATCAAATGTCTATACTCTGGTAAGTTGTTCTCTCCTAGTAGGGCTCCACATGTTTAGTAGTAGTTGTGCCTCCTGAGACAGGAAGTAGTCGTATTAAATTCCACAAACAAAAGAATCAATTGTCCTCATCTGTGGAAACGGTTCCCCAGGTCAGCTTCTCTTTCACGGGTAGAAAGAGACGTTTTGGTGTTGTAGCCTTGCAAGAATATCAAAAGATTACTGTAAATTGAAAAAATCCCCATAATAATCAATATCCAAAAGTAATAATACATTCTAAACATGTAGAGGAACTTATAAAATTGTCCCAAGGGCTGGAAAAGGACCAAGAGACAGTATATTCTAGGTCAAGACACACATGCCTATAAAAGCCATTTTGCACTGAAGGGGAATGCAAATCTTGTTTCTGGAGGTAACATTTAATGGTAAAATAATATCAAGAATAATGGTGATAAAATGATGCTTAATCAGCACAATAATTCACTTTATTGGTTAAGTATGCTAATGCTTAAAAGGAATGATCACACAGCCTGGTCTATTTATCAGTTAAACCCTAATATAGGCCTGCAGGTCAAACTGTTGTTGTGGTCTGGTTGGTAATGTGCTATATAAAGCAGTGGAAAAAAACCTGTGGTAACCTACATTTGTGTAAGTGGCCTTCGTTTTAAAGCCTAATTCTACTAGACATACAGTTACAAACACATTTATCTCTGTAGGAGCAGTTATCCAGTCTGCTTCTATGATGGAGAAAGAGAATGGTGGGAGATTTGTAATACAGGTTAGAGCTTTGATCGGGCCAAAAAACTCAGGCACAAATCTGAAAGAATCTGAAAGAATTCTGTGTGAGCTCAACTCAACCCCAAATTTCCGCTTAAAATAAATAAATATTTACATCATTTTAATTGTTTATTACAATCTAGCATAAACTACATTGTGCATATTATATAGTACACATTATTATCAAAACGAATAAATCACTAATTCAGTCATTAATTACAGTTGCATGAATTGTTATTAAAATATTAATTATATATATATATATATATTTTGTTCTGTGAGCCCAAACCGAATTCCTAATTCCTAACCTAATTCAGGTCAGTATCCCGAAAACCAGTCAGAGTGAGGTGTCCTCTTGTTTTTCCTGCTCTCTGGGAGGATGGACCAACTGCGACGTTTCTGCCCAGTGACGCACCTACGTCAGCAGTAGGTAGGCGGAAAAGCGGCAGCAGTGTGTTTCTGTGTATTTGGAGATAAAGCCAAACCGGGTGTTTTTATCAAGGAGATTCATACAGGGGATATAAAACTATATTAGCCGTTAACCCTGCTGAAATGGCGGTTCCTGCGGGTCAAACAGATCTTCAGACGGACAGAGGCGGCCTGAGCGGTCAGACAGTCCCCTCTGAAAACAACATTGACATCGACGAGAAAGAGTTGGAGAATATCACAAAGAAACACCGAGAAGACGAGACGACAGCGCTGCCTCTGCACTCACCTTGGACGTTTTGGCTGGACAGGTAGGCCTAATGTTTGTCCCTTCTTCCGCGTTGTCCGTCAGTTTAGAGTTTCAGGACGAGCAGGAATGATGGAGGAAAAAAAAATATCATTCAAGGCCACAGCTTTCCTTTCAGCAGGCCTCCTGGAGCAAATGTAGCGGGATAGTGTTTGCGTCTAACATGACCTTCTTCTACTCACAACACCGTGTCGGACTACTCAAAAAAAGTTATCTTTTTTCACCGCTGTATTGTTATCCAAGGTACTGACTCCTGCGTAAACACGGCGGACATGTTCTCTTGTTATTTTGTTTGGTATTCACATCTGTTATTCACGTTACTTTAGCTCTGTTTCCCAGCAGGGGAGCATGAGAGGAAGAAGTTAAAGTATACAGGCTATGTGTAGGTTAGCTGTGATACATTGTAGCTTTACACGGGGCACTTTCTCATTAACGTTAGTGTCTTTATAGCTGTCAATAAAATGCATGGTAAACGTTACATTATCTCTCCTTCTCTTTATGAGCTCATGGGAATGTTGTTTGTCACATGCTGTTTATTGGTTTATGTTTTGTGATGGAGCAAAGGTTTTGACCCTAGTGAATACAGCCTTATAAGCTGTTTTTAAAAGGACCACAGACTCCATAAAGACTGAAACATTTAGTCAGTTAACTTATTAATCAGTCAGCTGAAAACTAATCAACAGCAATTATGCCAGTATGAGTATTCTCTGGTTCCAGCTTCTCACTGTAAAACAATAAGTCAATTGAAGTCTAACGTTTTAAGTAAAACTAACTTAATGTTGTTAGTTAAAAAAGTCGCTTCTTTAATTTTAAATGACATTGACAAAATACCTAGTGAAATGTACTTAATCAGAAATGTTTCTTTAACTTACAAAACTAAGTTAGTGTCACTTACTTACAGTGAATGTGACAGCTGTTTTATTATACCGACATATCTGGGTTTCGGACTGGGGGAAAAAATTCAGAAATTTGAAGACGTCATATTCGGCTCGCAGAACTATTAATTTCCATTTATCACTATTTTAAATATTAAAGCGTTAATAAAAAAGAATTGACTCTTCACTCTATAATGAAATGAATTAGTTGAGTTAGTTGCAGCCCTAATTTAGACAGATAGGTGTCTGAAACGTTTTAGCACATTTTTCACTGTCGTTGGAGCTATTTTATCAAAAACTAGATTAGAATTTGGAGTGTAAGAAAGATATAGATAAATATTGTATTGTGATATTTTATTTTATGATATTGTATCGATTCTAAAAACACTGTATCAATTTGTGTTTAAACCTCCAATTTTAACTCAGATTTAATGCATATGGTGGTGTGTTCTTTATACTATGACAGTTTTTCACAAATCTAGCTCAATTTATTGAATTGTAACCCCTGTATCATGATATAGGAATAGGAATAGAAATCCTGATGCTGTAAAAGTGTATGTCTAGTCATGGTTTAAAAGAGAAAGTGAAAATAAGAAATAAGTAATGTTGTCCACTGGCATCTGTTCAGGAGCCAGTAGGCCAGTTTTTAACCTAAACTATAAACTGTATTTGTGCAGAACTTGGGTTGTTGGTTTAATTACCATATGCACTCATTAAAATAGATAAACTGACCATAAAAAACCCAAAACCTCAACCCTGACCATGTTTTGTGCAAGAACAGCAGAGTCAGCTGCTTTATTTCCTTGTTTCTGTCACACTATCACCACTGAGGGCTAAAACAGCTTTCACTTGTTCTTGTAGGTCATTACCTGGCACGACGGCTGCAGAATGTGAATCTAATCTGAAGAAGATCTACACCGTGCAAAGTGTGCAGGTGAGATTTTGTGTCCGTTTAAGGAGCTTCATCATCTTAAGAGCAGAGAGATCAAATGCATGACTTGGCTGAGAGTCCAATTCGCTTCAGAAGAGCTTCTTTGATGAAGGGGAATAAGCAGTTCATTGGTTCTTAAAGCTACAGCAGGCACAGTTGGTGGGGAAAAAAATAGCTATTTTATCAACATAGTGCACAGTTTGACATCAGATTACATCAGCTTTTTCTGGTGAAATTTAAACCGTTTTAACTGCTGTTGCTGTTGTTACTGCAAATGTTTAAAGTTGAGTAACATTTTGTTGTGTGGCAAGAGTGACAGTAGGTTCTAAACTGTGTGTCTGCTATACACTGCCTTTTGATATGATGTTCCGATGGCTTGCATTATGTTATGGGAAAGTCTGTGTGTTGTTTTAATGGGGTCTTTCAGGATTTAAACTATAGTAATGCAAAGGGTTTGTCTCATCATCGCCAAATTCCAAAACCCAGGATTAAAACCTGCTATCTGTCAATTAATGCACAGATTTTTTAATATGAAGCTGGGCAGCATGCATTTGGCCAGTTTTGTTTACATTGCTGATTTTTGTAAACATGGAAGTGAAACAGGCTTGTAGTTTCAGTTTGAATAAGCTGAAACACACCAAATACCGGAAGTCAAACTCTTTCATTTTGTGTGTATATGATCATTGTACTGATTGAGACTTTAATGCTAATATCCAAAGCTTTTCACAGGTTGTCACCCTCTGCAAAACAATGATAGTTCTATACATGTTTCTTCCAAGGTGCCTACCTTAACAATCAGCCACTGCAAAACCTGATAAATGCACTAACAAGCACACTGCATACAAAACAACTTGTAAAAAAGCTTTGCTTTTAGCGTGGGGTCTCTTTTTAGATTTGGCTTTACTGCCATTGTCAGTATACTATAGCAGTGCTTCCCAAGTAGGGACGCCTAGGAGTACTTTAGAGTATTGCAGGGGGTACCTGACATAACATAAAAAAATTGAATTTAAAAGAAGTTATTTTTATTATTTTATATAATGCATAAACATTTTATATTCGATATTTCTATTTTCAATGCAGTTGCTAACTGCTGTAAACAGTTAACCAGCAGTTTGAACTGTCAACTGCAGTCACTTCCCTGATTCAGATAATTATAAATTATTATAAATAGTTACTAAATTTAATGCAACTACCATGCTCTCTTAGTGTTATTACAACATGTGCCATGAATTTAGTGATGGATTCTAAACAGTTGCAGTGAAGCATTTAAGGGTTTTTCTTAATAAATCAGACACTGATGGTGCAGCGCTGTACTGAACCTCTAAGTTTGTTTTTTTCTCCCAAAAATGTTTTGCACTGGTCACGGGGAACGTGGCTGAAATTTCACTTGCATCGTGTGGCCGATCTGATAATTTCACATTTTTGTGTTTTAAAAAGAAGTTGATAACCTGCAGTTTATGCACACCTGGGGGTAAGAAGGCTAAGTTGTAGAGTTGAAGTTGATTTTATGACTTTTTCTGTCCTCACAGAGCACTTGTAGAATATGTATGGCAAATTGCAATCGTGTTGTCTTCCTCTCAAACTGAAAAACATCCACGCCAGCAATGACATATTTGGCTCTCTAGTCTACACTGCATGGCTCTGCCTAAGTCATCGTCATGAGTCCTGAGAACAGCTGCTGCACTTGTCAATGAAAAGCAATGTTGCCATCATATTATCAGCTCTGTTTATCGGCTTTAGTTTGATTTGATTTCAAACTGCATGAAGGAGGGAAACCTTGTATGACAGTAACAGTAACGTTGTTTTTAGCTTTAAGAAAGAAAATCAACTCTTTTCTGTTTGCAGATGTTCTGGAGTGTATACAACAACATCCCTCCTGTCACAGCCCTGCCTTTGAGATGTAGCTATCACTTAATGCGTGGAGAACGGAGGCCACTTTGGTGAGTATATTATTATAGTAAATATTATGATAATGTCCCCTGAACAATGGCTCGAACGGAGGGAAATTATGACTGTAGTTCATGCAGTAACATGATAAAATGTAATACACACACTAAACTTTAAAGGGGTGTAAAATATGTATATGTATAAGTATATCATAAAAGCTTGAATTATTACATTGTTATACTTTGGATTGATTATATAGCTATGGTTATTATTATAAGACCATCAGTTATAAATGGTATGGCAAATATTAAAGGTTCCTCGTGGAGTTCTCGACCTCTACCTCAGTTGTTTTTTTGTTTTTTATGGGTCCCCATTTTGTCATGCCAGAGGTTTCATTCTATTCCATACACTATTCTGACATTTAGGTGGCAGCAACACACTACAAAACACAGCAAAATACCAAAAAGGGACTGAATCAGACTGCAACCAGTACACATGATGTTAACAATGGATTAATTTAAAGTACTTGCAAATGTTTTAGGAGGGAAGGAATGCCATTAACATGTTTGTTAGACCTCAAGGAATTTATAAACATGTATGTTTTACAAGGAACTCCACAGGGCCCTTTAATGTGATGCCAGTACTAGTCAGGAGTTTGTTACATGAACCGGTTTTTACAACCCATTCTGAGCGGTGTATTGTGATAACCAACATTTATCTCTACTGTATGTCTCTTGAATGGAGTTTAAGTAAAATGTGTATTTAAAATGTTATGTAGAACCTATCACACGGTTAAGGTTGCATTATATCATTTTTCCTTTAATCTTTCAAACCAACAGGGAAGAAGAAAGCAATGCAAACGGAGGAGTATGGAAGATGAAAATACCAAAAGAAAGCGCTGTAGGTGTTGTGCTCTGTTTCACATAGTAGTATCACATGTTAATATACAGTAGTATATATTTAATACCTGAGTTACTAATTAGCTCCTCTGTGTTCTTCTTGTTTCAGTCTGCAGTTTGGAAAGAATTGTTACTTGCTACTATTGGAGAGCAGTTTGCAGATTACTGTGCCTCAGGTGAGCTACTCCATACTTGGTGTTTAATGTTTGTGTTTTCAGGAGAAGATTTATTCCCCCTCAATGAAAGAAATATGCTTTTTCCCAACACAACAATTGCACTGATGAGTATTTGTTTACTGTTTATTTTCCAGACGATGAGGTTGTTGGCGTCAGTGTTAGCGTTCGAGATCGGGAAGACGTTGTACAAATCTGGAATGGAAATGCATCTCTTGCTAACGAAGCAAATATCTTGGGGAAAGTCTATGAGCTCCTCCCGAACATATCTTTTAAAGCTGTTTTTTATAAGTGTAAGTATACACGATTTTTTCCACTTACATGTATTGAACCTTATGCATTTAGGAGCTCAAGTTTTACAGATGCCTTGTCAGAAATCATGAATCGAGACTGTTGCATCTGAAGTGTGGATTAACTGTGCACAACGGAAGGACATAGTTCCAACCAGAGCGTGTACAGTAAGCATGCCAGACGATGATTGAGGGAGTGTACATGGCTGTAGGCTATTCAGGGTTGCATCAAGAAAAATGGCCCACAAATACTTTACATTCACATTGGCCAGTCTTCTTACTACATTTTGAGTGTGTTCCCAATGTGTTCCCAAAAATCTAATGAGCTACTACGTGTTATTGTTTTATAACCCTCATTAGTATAGGCGCGGCTCAGCTTGCCCGAATGTTTGGCAAACACGCACAGACCAAATATATTTATTCCTATATTTCTTTAGCTATTGAACGGGTTATCAAAATACCCAGATTGAAAATTCTCTGGATCCAACCGGATCGGGCCAGTGTCTTTTGATTGAGGTGGTTGCATGAGGTATTTTTAATCTCACTGGGCTATTATTCTGATTATTAGTGGAATATTTATTTATTATTAGTATTAGTATGTATTAGGTTTAACTGGTTAGATCATATTGTTTGAACTGCTTAATCTGCGAGCAGTGAAGATCTTTGCAGACTCATGAGTCCAGTTTTTCATACTTTAACGTTGCAGTCTGGGGTCGGGTATACATTTTTTTTTTTCAAAACAAAAAGGCCATATGGTGAATGTAAAATGATAATTTTTCATGCCTGACAGGATTTATACTAACAATGAATCACTTTGACTTTTTCAGCACACATGGAGCATCATGCCTTTGAAGGAGGACGCTCAAGACATTAGATTGTAATGCACTTTTTTTTATTTTAACCTGAACTCTGTACCAGCCTTGTCGTAAAGGCACTGTCCACAACCTAATCAAGGATATTATTTTGCTTTCAAGGAAATGTTATCCATATATTTTTATAACTTTTAACGACTGATGCCTTGTTTCATTTTGATGTGGGTCCTAAAGCTCTGAGCTCTTCGGAGAATGTACATCCAGCATTAATCAGTTCGTAAGTTCATGTTGGTTTTTGACTTCCTCTTGTGCTCAACTGCACTGTCATGGTCCTGTTCTCTGCACGGCCTATGGACCTCACAATTCAGTCCTGGTATAGAGGTAGCAGCTACATAACCTGGTGTGCTTTAACTGTTTGATATTTAAGATATCTCAATTCATGTCATGTTTTAATTAAGTCCGCTTATTCAGTGCCAAAGCACTTCTCTGCCGTCTAAGAAGTTTGTATCCTAATGGTCTTTTATTCCCACTTAATTTTTTTCCCACTTCTGGGATAAAGTGAATGGGGATGAAGTGAACGTCCCGTTTGCTTTCTTGAAACTTCATCAACTGTGCATGAAACTTAAATCAGGGTAACACTTGGAAATATTGCACATGACTACCTATTCCAATCACAGTGTCCCTCAGTTATAAAGCCATCACCGGGAATCAGAACATATCCCAACACAGATATGGCCTGAAGAGACTCCAGATTTGGTGTCTCAGATGTCTTTAGTTACAGAGCAGAACCCGTCCTGAAAGGTGCCTCTTTGAATGTTGTCAGCCACACCACACTTTAACATTTCCCTCCCCACGTGTGTGGACGTGGACCCTCCGCTCTCCTGAATGGAGTCACGGATTGTTTAGTGCATTACTCTCAAGAGATACTGCACATTCTTGTGCTCAACTAGTGGTGCTCCTTAGTACTTGTCTGTCCCCCCCGTCCCCCCCCCCAAAACCGATGATTCTAGTTCGCTTACTGGACCTTGTCCTAACAACCATACACACAGACAGCATTATTTGCTTTAAAGGAAGTAACATTAGGTCATGCTATTCCCATATTTAGCATGACTTTGTAGATATACTATGTCAGATTTGATCATTAAGAAATGTCTAATAAATGTGGTGAGTTTCAGTAGTCATTGAGTCAATGTAGACTGCTGCTTCAAAGCAAAGTACACTTTAAACCACAATACTATACATCCATTATGATAAATACCAACACTAGTAATAGCAAAACATATTTTTCTATCTGATCGCTTTAGAAATCTGGGCCATTTTATGAGATTTCATCACCCAGCCTGACTTACCTTCACTAACACAGTTAACATACTGTTGCTTTATTGCAGGAAACTGAATGCCACTGGTATTATTATCACACCACTTTTATAGATCCACTTTGGACTGGTTGATAAGTTGGTTATAAGGGGACAGTATTTCCTTTGTAAATATGATTTTTCGCAGTGACATGGACAAAGTAAATAAAAAATGAAATGAAAGTGCAATTATCTTTTGTGTTTCTATTTGTATAGTACAGTCAACAACAACAACAACAACACATATCTGTGAAAGGACAGTGTCGCCATTTTATTCAGGCATGTTGGGTGTGTGTGTGTTAATACCTCATCTTTCACTTACTACCAAGCCATTCAGTGCTGATTCATCACATTTAATTGTAGCAGTTACACAGTATACTCTTACTAGTGTGTCTCCTGAGGTAAGATGGGAAATCTTGTAAAGGTCAGAAAGCAGTGAGTAGCAATGGCTTTGCAATTAAGGTAAGACCAATTTTTTGAGTGTGTTTCTGAATTCACAGTTAATGCATGATTCTTTGTTTTTCTTTGTGCCTCAGTGTGTTAATAGACCTTTCTCACAATAGATATAGCAAAAAGCAGAGGTGTTACGGAGAACATTACCGATGACTCTGCTCTATTCAAATGCCCCAGTTAGTCTTGACAGTGTGAGTCAGCATGCACAATGCCAGGACTTGAAGCAGCCAAATGGATTTCAACCATTATTAATTACATTTTTTTAGTTTTTTTTTTTACACGTGTGCTTTTCCTACTGTGATGTGTCAAAAATGTATTCAGCTCTCATTATCATTATTGTTTTTGTTCACTTGGGGGCAGCACAACACAACATTGGCTTTATCACTTTACAAAGTTGATATGGCTAGTGTGTTTGCATTTAGCCTATTACCACATCCAGCACATACAGCATTCATTTGGAGTGGCGTTTTCTTTGTGGTGTCTTTTGTTGCAGCTTTAAAGACTAAATGTGGAAACATTTGGAGAAGTTCAGGGACTGAAGAAGACTGTCATATTGACTATTAAAACTGAACTTCATAGGGACATTATAATCCTAATTGTTTAGTAGCCAGTTGTTCAGCTCAAGTTCATATTTAGCAATGTGGTTGGAAAGAGGTCACTTAAAGACTGTGTGCATCTGGCAGTGAAGCTGCAACCATTTGAATACAGCTCAAAATGCTGTGGTGGTACTTCAGACCACGACCACTGATTGTGTCCTAACCATGAATGTTTAAATCCAGTGCATTACTTTAAGTTATCACATTCAACTATAAAATAAGTAAATTAAACAGTATTGTGTGTTGTGCTTAATCTTGGAATAGGACTTTTTATTGGTCTCGTTCTAGAGTCTCGCTCTAAACTTGGACTTGTCTTAGACTGGGCTTGTTTTGACAGTTGCTTTAGTCTTTTACAAATTTTTCTTGTTCAAATTAAGGACATCAAGCAACCTGTATTTAAAAGCTACCAAAATGACTTATTAAAGGCATAATGTTTCAGATGTGTGAATTTGGTTACATTGAATGCCTGTAAAACAGTGGAACACAGCTCATTGTATTTAAATTTTTAATTATGATATCTTGATAATAATACGTGTAATTAGACTTTGCATGTGTTTTTACATGGAGATACATATCAGCAATATAGGACATCAGAAGGAAAACCAGAAAATATTTTCTCCATAAAAGCTGATCCAGATCAGTCATATATCACACTGACACAACAGTGGGGTAAAGGTGAACTGCACTCAAACTGTAGAAGCACCAAGAAAATACAAATTTTAAGGTATTCAAAAGCATTTGACAGTATAATACAATTTAATGACATGTTAATGGAAAGGCCAAATTGTACCGCTGAGGTCAAGGAAAATGTTTATGACACAATTGTAATGGTCTCATGACAATGTCAAACCACCCACATATGCTGTTTTTTGGGGGTGGGTGGGGCTTTTATTGCCTTTATGATAGTGACAGCTGGAGACAGACAGGAAAGGGGGTGACACACAGCAAAGGGCCACAGGTCGGATTCGAACCCTGGGCTCGAACACTGAGCTAACCGGGCGCCCATGATGTGCTGTTTTAATGTTAATGTTAACACATAAAGACAAATAGCTTCTGTAAGTATGATAATTAGGACTGCTAAGCCATGTTTATGATGTCTTGGTTAATGTCAAGTTGTCATAACACAGACATCAAAAACAATGTAAACTTTGCAATAAAAATTACATAATTGTCCGACAACAGTCAGAAACATGCATAAAGGTGTCATGTCAGACTTATGCACACTCCTTCAAATGAAGTGTTACACAAAAGCTTATTGATGTTTAGGGAAATGCTCCTGTTTGTCTGTGATTTGCATTGTTGCAGAACCCTGGTGCCACATTTCAAATGCAACTTCTCAGTTAGAAAAGCCAAATTTTTCAATGATACTGTTGAAACGGTACTACTTTCTACAATCTGCCATAATTCATCACCTGTGTAAGAAATGTATGTATGCCAAAACAAAGGCAGTTTCAAGTTCATTACCTCCATCGTTATAAGACAAGTGTTATGGTTTCACAGTGCACTCCTAAAATACTAAAAAGAGGATGTGGGTTGAAGCTTGATGTTATTAGAATTTACCATGGTAACAGTGACATCAGGCCTATTTGTTATAAACACTGAGAATAAAAAAAACCTGAAAGCTGACTTTTTGTTTCGTGTTTGCATGTGCTTGGTGAAGTGAGAGGAGGGTTTCTCTGTTAGAACTGTTAACTGTTAAGATCTGTTAAAACATTTTTTAGTCATTGCACTGGCGACACATTTTTACATCTGGAGAATTTAACAATCACTTACAACAATGATAAATGGAAAAGTAAAATATAAATAAATCAGTTATTCATTTCCTTATGATTTTTTGTCAAAGCCACAGTGACTGAAGGAGGTCAAATGTTGCTCCAGAGCTGCAGGTTGCCTAGCCCTGGCCACTGGCTGTGGCCACTCGAGTTTATCCTACAGGCTCGGTTGAGTCAAGGGGTTTCAGTTGGTTGCTATCTCACCACCAGATGCCACTAAATCCACCTTTAAAGACACTGGACCTATTTTTCCATTCACCCCAAAGTAATGATGTAAATTTTCCTCAGTATCACTTGCATGCTCAAACAGCATCATGCATTAGTATCAGAATCATGCATAGGTAAATGGCATTATACATGAACTGCTGCTGAAGAGCATGGTGTCCACTACAATGGACAGATGTGTACGTTTGTTAAAAATGACACCTTGAAAAAGACATAGACATTTAAAGGTGGTTTGTAATGCATTCCTTTGTGATTTCATAAAATAGGCCTTCAAGGGTGAAATTGAACAAATAAAAACATGGTCACACTATTAATGTGTGTATCTACAACGGCACAATGGTGTACAAAGTTAGTTTGTCCTTCTTTCACTCATTTGAGAGTTTTTTTACTGCTCATTATCCAGAAAGCTTCTCCAGAAGTCTTGTCCCTTTCATTACATGTTGAATGCTACAGCCCCCAGCAGCACACGAAAAACACCGTATGAAAGCCATCCATCCCCCTTTGGGAATCAAGAGGAGCCCCTATTCATTTGCTTAATTACCTAATTAACAGAAAGCTAATTACTTTGTTGTGTGCACGCGTATGTGTGGAGAGGCTGTTACGTAACTGATAGTGATCCTCAATTAATTTGTAACTACACTCCATCAAGTCAGGGCCCTAATCCACACAACACATCACCAGCATGACACCAACAAAACATGATAATGAATTCAGACCCAGACACATGGCTGCTGGGCTCCACTGCACTCATAGATCCAGTATTGACATGCAGATCAAGCCAGTGAAGAATTAGAAAGCATAGATCACGCGTTAGATTGTCTTCATGACACCGTACACACATTTGAATGTTTTCATTAATTACACCCGACAATAATGTTTACAACCTTTTGAAAAAAAATGCTCAACAAACAAATCATAGCAAAACTCTAAATCCTGTTAGGAATATAATGGGGATAATATAGTTGTACCACGAGAGGTCAAATGACATGAAGCAGAAGAATGTGCCCTGATTCATATATTTGAATCCAACTCTGCAGCTTTGTACTCGAACCGGTGTGTTACTGTGGCTTAATGGGCCCTGAGGTCATTGAACACAGCATTGTGGTTGTAGGCCATGCAGAGACTGATGCATGTCTGTGTGCCTTCAGAGTACATATATATACTACATAAAGCCAACTCTCAGCTGTGGGATTGTGTGGGATGTGATTTTGTAAAAAATGATGGAAATATATTTTAAAATATGTATTACTATCAATTATCACTATGTAATGTTATATAATGTAATTACTATGGAATTATTATATTGTGTACCTGTAATACAAATTCAACCTTAAACCCAGTTAAAGACTTGGGGCTTTATCACCTGGTCTAATTCCTTCATTTCATTTCCTTGTTTTTAACAATTCTTTTGTCAAAATTGTTGTTTTTCAAATGTATATGTCTACAATGTTTACAGGGCCATTGAGGACCCAGGGGTATGTAAGAGTGTTTGTTTGTTTGTTTTTGTCATAGTAGGTAGGTAACAGGAAATAGTAGGCAATGTTGTGTTTTCCTGTTTCCTCATTTTGTGTTACCGTTACTATGAATTAACCTAGACAAAAGCATGAAGAAGTTTGTTTATCTTAGTTTCCTGTCACAGTTGATACAGTTTTGTAGGTGTGCCTAGGGTGCGGCAGTGCAGAACTTTGTTTAATATTGAAAATGAAGACGTGCCTGAAGCCTGTTGAAGATCACATTTCTGTGGCAAAACCGTTTTCAGGGATTTACTATTGTTATATGCTCTGAAAAGTTTCCAAGCATTATTATTTTAATTTCACATTTACATAACGGGTATGGGCTGAGGTATGCTGGCCAAACACCCATTGTACTGAAGGGTTAAGGATATTCATGTAGGTAAGAAACTGTGTAGTTACACGACAGAGGATAAACTCACATACTACAGATTAAGTGGTTAATCTGGGGAAATGTTATAGTCATTTTTCCTGTGACTGGGCATGGTCAGAGGGTGGCGCTCTCTACTAAGAAACAGACTTTCCTAAGAGGGTTCATCAGCAGCATTCCTCCCAGATGTAGCCATGATAAATGTAATGTCGTTCACAGTGAAATGAGCTGTGCTTCTCAGACCTTGATCAAGGGCAAAAAATGACTTAAAATATTTTCTCTTGAGGTTAAATTAATGTTGCTTTACAATGAGTGTTAACTGGACTGTTGAACTGGCCCGTGATAATTCTTATCTGCAGGGGCAAGTGACAGATTTTAATTACTGTCATAATGTTTTTTTGCACTTCTTGTGACAGTCATGTTGAGGGGAAACTGTTTAGGTGTGAGCAAAGACGTTTCAACCACAAAAAAAAGCAGAGATTCTAACTTTGTGCAGATTCAGATATAGTCATGTCCCCTTAGAAATATTCTGAAGAGAATTGGCCCGCCGTCGGAAAATACAGAGCCTGCACTCTGGTTATCTCCACTGTCATTTTCAAAACCATAATACCACCCCTCCTTCAACAGTTAAAACTCTTCACAAGTGAGATTAAAACATCTTTGATGATTATGTCAAAGCATTTAATTTTTTTTGTAGTAAGGCTTTGGAACAGTTATGATGAACCATAGATCCAAAAAAAAGAAGAAAAAAAGACAGGAGAATTTTCTGAAATAATAGAAGTTCATTCTGCCTCAGTTGTAATTAGTCAGCTTAGACATTTTAGCTTTTCTGACAGCCCCCTCTCTCCTGTCACACTTTCAGCTAAAACTAATGCATATCATTACATTTCCCCATAGAAAGGACCTGCTAAGTGCTACTAAGTGCTACTGAATTGTACTTGTGACTATGATGTGTCTATGAAGGATCTGCGATGCAATGAACGTTGTTTACTCTCGCAGGTGGATATGACGTCACGGACTTGGGACATAAAAAACAACAACATCCAAACATCCATCCGCGATTCTTCCTTTTTTTCTGCTTCTTTTCTCGGCGTGTTAAAATCTAATAACAACATTAAGAAAGAGAGCTCGCGCCTTTCCCCGCGAGGCAGACTGGGAGGCAGCGAGTGTGAAACTCCACATTTTGCCTTTTTTTTTCTCGACGCCCTCGGTAAGATTATCTCTTTCTCCTTGTAGTTAAGTTAGTCCCCCCACCTCGCCACCAACGCCGAGGCGTCGCACGCGTTCTCGGTACACAAGCTCCCGTGCACGGCGTCGTTATCTCATACTAGCAAATCGGTACCCTCCGCGTGCGCCTGTTAGCTGCTGTAAAGCGTTTTCCATTGCGGGTAAGTTTCACTATTATCATCATGTTAGTTAACATTAGCTTTGTATCGTATCTAGATACCTGCCGCTGCTGCACTCAAATACACACACACACACACACACACACACACACACACACACACGGAGTTTGTCTCCGGTTGTTGCTGCTGTTTTCTAGAATTAGCGAAATTAGCCAAATAAACAAATAAACAAACACCTGTATTATTATCATGTAGGCTGCTTGCTAGCGCTGTTTAATGTCTCTGTTGGGAGCGGCTGTTACAAGATTGTTTTCGTGCTACGAGTGTTGTATCCACTACTTTTTTTTTGTTGCAAAGTTGGGTTTCTAACTTAGTTGAGGCTACTCAGGAGACCCCGGGGGGGAAATGCATGTTTATAACCTCAGTCGGTTATAAAGTGCTGGTTAGCGATAGCCGTTAACAGTCCGTAATTACTGCCCTACCTGTTAGCATGGAGCCGTAAAGTTTTTAACTTTACACGGTGAAAGGGAAGTTTGAGTGCCGTGATTTCTTTGGAGTGAGACCAGGGAAGGAGCTTTTCCCCACGTGTTAGCTGTCCTCCAAACTCCGAGAGACCGGAGGAAGGCATTACAACTGCCCCAAACTGTAGTTATTATGGCTGTAATACAGCTTTAGCTAACAGGCAGGTCAACTTTTATTTTGGCTGTCCATTTATTTTGGCGTTATTGAATGCTGTGTTGGTGGGGCTCGTCTGCTCAGCGAGAAGACTGTACACATTTAAAAGCGGATATTCAGCTCATATTTAACTTTTAATGAACACAAAGGATTTAGGGAGTTGATTTTTAATTATACTTAATAGTCACACCTCGACATTTTTTTGACAAGTTTTTGACATTGTGTCTTTATTTAGCTGTAGTTTGAACTGGATGGTTTTACTGAGTCAGATATGGTGTGGGTACAGTTGGACATTTTCTTAACTGTAAATAGGCTGAAGTTGCACAGCACTTTATGATCACTTGTGGGGGAAAAAAGTTTAGAACAATTAAAAATTCATTAATAAATTAGAAATTACCAGTCGTTTCTATTTTGTTTAAATGGATTAAATTGTTGTTGTTTTATTTTACTCACATGTTATACACTGTCCAAAGAAATGCACTTGAGCAAAATATTTTGCCCTGTAGAAATACACCAAAAGCAAAGCCATCAAGTAAACTTACGTTCAAAATATTTTACATCTATTTTCAGTTTTAATTAACATTTCATAACAGGTGTATTACAGACGAATGGATGCCAGTAACCAATATGATAATTATTGTGTCTTTTAAATGTGTATGTTCATATTATAAACAAGTGTCTCTTTATGTATTTAATCCATGTTGATTTATTATTAATTCAGTCAGACAGAATTAGTATTTTCACCAAAAGCCATCCTTTTATATAAATAGATACAGATTATGTTTGTCCGTTGAGAGTGAACTACATACGTATAAGAATGAAACATTACCCTAATATTTTATACAGTAAGTCTGCAGCTGGCAACAGCAGGACTAAAACCATCTGAAATTTTACAAAAGGGAAACTGCAGCTTTAACAACTATTGCTGGCAGTGCTCCCTCCTTCTTGGTCTTTGGATTAGTCATTGTCTGAGGGGAAAAAAACACTTTTTTGTAGGAGAAGTAAAGTAAACAGCCTCCAACAAGCGAACCTTGACAACCCAGATTAAGGAAAACATTGGAGATCAAACAGTGCTGCTGCTGGGCTGTTGTCATGAGCTGCCTGAGAGAGAGCTGCAGACTATTTGAACAGGCACTGGGGTTTGTGTGCTCACTTATGCAGAAATGGACCTTCGCAAATGCTGACCCAGGTTTTAAAACACAGGATGAACTTTCTTTGTAACTTTTCCAGGCCTGCCGTTTGACACGGCTGTAACATACAGACCCAAGTCAGCCGTTTCTGATGGGAAAAACCTAACACTGTCCCCCGCGTCTGCTTCTAGAAACAAGAATGGCTCTAATTTCCCTGCCCCATAGTACAGCTGAATACATTGAGTTGGGGGGGGGGGGGTGGTGGAGTGAAAAAGCTTGAAATTTGAGGAAGAGCAGCTGTATGCATTGTAATGATGCAAGATCCTTAACGCACCAATCTGTGATTTTGTGTTATTTGGAAAGTCCTTGTTTCTACTTTGGCCACTTCAGGCTGTGGCTAAGGCTCTTCTTGTAGAGAGTTGAGGTTGAACTGGTAAGAAAGTAATCAGTCACTCATGCATTCAGTGTGGGGACTCCCATCCCTGAGTGGAGCGGCGCTCTCTTTCATCTGACGGCTCAGTATTTGTGAACACACACTGAAATACCCTGTGCTGGGTACGGAGGGGCTGTAGACTGACTGTGCACCCTTGCTTGCAGCAGAATGATAAGAAGAGTTATTTTCGGCCCAGTGTTGGAATAAGGTTCTGCATTTTGCTGTGTTGTTTCTATATTAGATTTATTTGCCAGCTTCACCCCTCATTTGATTTCAGATACAAGACGCCCTCAAACCAGTTGCTTGAAACATTTTCGCACAAAGCAAGACAAGTGACAGATGAATAAAAGGGAATTTTCTGGTAAATTAATTTGTCATGTGATTTTTGCATGTTTGATTCACACAACACAAAGAGGGAAGAGTACTGGCAATATGAATACGAGTGCAGCGCACTCATTAGTGCTGTATTACATGAATGGATGTGATAACAAAGGAAAGCAGAACAATATTTCCAGGGTAAAGGTTAGTGTGTCCCGGCCCCTGTGGCGTGCCACAGGCAGACGGTTCTCCAGGCCAGGGAAGGCGATTGGTCAGAGAGTGGACAGCTTCAGGTGTGCTCTGTGCAGCTCCTCAGTCTCTATGGAGACTGCAAAATGCTCAGGACGGCCATTAACTCATGCAGCCATTAATTACTGTCTCCTACTGTCATCTGTCCTTAATAAAGGGAGGGATGCTGACAAAAAATATATCCATCTGCATGAAAGGAGATGGAGCATGTGACTACAATCAATTAACTTGAGTTAAAACATGATTTTGCTACTGGTGTTGTGGTTCAGGAATTCAGTACAACATTGCTGTGCAGAAAATCTATTGTTGGAAAATATGGAAGTATCATATATTTTGTTCTATCTGTCAATGTGTGTATTAAATTAGTTGGTGTGTTGGTTTCAGGTAAAACTAGTGTTGTTATTTTAATAAATAATGGGGCTTTTGTAAATGCAGTTAAGTTTGAATTAGAATTGATGGGCTGCATAACATTGTTATATTGCAATGGCACCGGTTTAAAAATATTTTGCGCAGGCCCTTTCTCTGTATGCATAATTCTAATTATCAAAATAAGAATTTATTTTATCTTGATTTTAATCTAGTTAAATGTGTTTTTGGCTGGTGCTTGAGAGCAGTACAGGAAACAGCTGATTTGACTGATTGTGTTGCTGAAAGCCTTCATATTCAGACTTAGGTGTTCACACATTGTTTGGATAATCAATAATGAAGTTAGTACTTTCTAAGCAAGTTGTCTTTCTTTCTGTATGAACTTAGCTGGTTGTTTTCTTAGGCACATGATCTCCTGTTCTCATGTTGAGTCTCTCAGCATGCAATAACTTAGAACCAGAGTTTCTTTAACAGCACAGCCGTTTTCTGTTTTGGGAATGATGCAGGTAAGCTACAAACATTTTTGTCCAGACATGAGGGGCTCAGCCATATGCTACAAGCTGTGCTCAGCTGCCAGGCGAAACCTCTGCACCTGTTTCCATCAGCTGTCCAGTCTGTATGTCCGTCTGCGCGTGTTTATGTTGTGGCTTCGATGGCCTTATGAATTACAAGGCTTTTGTTTTATGGGAACAAATCAAATATGCGTTGATCAATGTTTAGTTAATGCTCTGGCATAACCTAACATGCTCAAATGCTGTTTCGTTTCTCATTCCAAACTGTAAGTAATTCCTCGCTGTTTGAACTTCTACGGTATTTTTAAAAGTTAATGTTCAAACAAGAACTTACGATATGCGGTCCAGATCTCCAAAAAGATATCTATTGCTTTCATTTGAAGTCTAGACCAGACCTTTACAAAGCAGAAAGCTTGATGTAGATCCTAATAATGTTTTTTTTTTAATCCGTTGTTACAGTTTTCAAAAGTCAGCAGAAGAGAAAAACAATGTGGTGACTGTTGTGCTGATGTTGGAATTAGGCTATTCTTGATTTCATATGGTGGTATGCATGTTGAAAAGGGGGCTCACTGATGTGGGCTCTGATATTTACCTGAAAATAGACAATGTGACTTGAGAGTGGAAGAAGAAGCAAGCATCAGTTTAAAGTTGTGCCTATTATTTTGTCTGATATTTTAGTTTCTAGTGGTGGCTGCTCATGTTGTCCACAGGTTCTTCTGTTTATCAAACAAACCTGCTGTGTTCCTGCTGCTGGAAATGAAAAAGCCTTCACTTGCACCAGAGTTTTTCAGATATTAAGACCTGTCCAAAACTGCATGCTTAGAGCTGCAAAATAAAAGCTTTTATAATCTGCCTATAGGTTAAATCATTTTTACACCATATCAGTGTGAGAATGAAAGTAGCAAAACCGACATTTACTAATGTGAAAATGTCACAGACTGTTACTTAAACCCCGATAACAGTAGGCGAGGTTGCAGGAGCACATCTTTAAGGGCCTCATCCTTGACTTCTTGGCTGTGTTTTTCAGCTGGCAGTCCCTGCCTAATAAGAAACATAACATGGCAGGGCCTGCTCTTCCATCATCATTGCTGGGTGGAAAGTTGGTGTGCTTTGATCATGTCTTTTGGGCGCATCACTCCGGCTTAGCCTGCTGCTCGCTATGTGATAAGCCATCAGAGTACTCAGATCTAAGCCGGCAGCTCCGTGGGCTTGAGGAGAGACAGGAGAGAGTAATGGAGATGAGGAGAGAGCAGCAATGCAAATTTTGTTGACAGACTGTTACTGCAGCTGTTCCCTTTGCCTTTGAATTCAACAATGCTACTGTCCATCTCCACCCTCCTGTGAAGAAAAGGCCATGGT